TTCTGTTTTTTTTCTTCTCTCCTTCATTTGTTCTAGATACATTTCATATTGCTCTTCAGTCGACAAGGGAAATTACGGCTGCAGAAATGGTACACCACTCTCCCTGACAAAGAAAGGAAAAAGATCACCCGGGAAATCGTTCAGATTGTTCTGTCTCGTGGTCACAGGACAAGCAGTTTTATTGACTGGAAGGAGCTAAAGCTTGTTTATAAAAGGTGTGAGTAACTGTATGGGGTCTGAATTTCTCGGTACTGCTTTGGTTTGTTTAATCCTGAACATTTTAGATTGCGACACCAATTTCATCATTTACTGAAATCTATGAAGATTTCTGTACTGATGAACTAACTTGGGAAGAACTCTCACGTACTGAAAGGCCCTTCATGGGTCAGGATGGAGTCTAGGTACTTAATCTACACGCTGTTAATGCACGCTTGCATCCCAGAAATCTTAAGCTTCTGAGCACCTAGTGTATTCTCAGCACTGTTCTAATGGCTGTGGATATAGGCGTGAATAAGACACAGAACATTCCCACTGTCGTGGCGCTTACTCATTTGTTAAGTAAACAAAACGTTTTCAGTTAGCGATAAATATTATGGGAAAAATGCAGGTTAATGTGGTACAGAGATGGGCAGCTCTTTTCATTGTTATTGTTACTCATATTTGCACATGAAGAAACTGAAGACACAGAGCGTTTAAGTAATTAGCCTCCAGTCATAATACTGAGTGGTAGTTGGCAGAGCCAGAATTCAAATCCAGATCTTTCTGGCTCTAAAGCCTTACATTGTCTCTTTTCTGCACCTGCTTGCCATGGCAAGACCCTACTGGAAAGGAACCCCAATTTATAGATGAGGAAACTGAGGCCCCAAGAGATGAAGGAGTTTTGCCCATAAAGACGCAGATCACTGATGCCTAAGCCAGGACCAAAACACAGCAGACCTGACCCTGCACCCAGCCTCCTACTGCCACTTCCAGAAGGAAAAGCACATGAGAAAGGCTCTTGCGAGGGAAAGGCAGAACCTCTGAGGACCCTATTTAATGGAGTCAATTACCAGGAAGTGCCTGGGCAAAGCTCCTTTGGCTGGATCCAAGGTCAAAACTTTTCGTACTTGCTGACAAGAAGCTTGTCCCTATTCTCTGCCTAACTGGTTTTCTAAAACTTTGGGTTCCATTGTATTTTAAACCATTGTATGAAGAATGTGCTTCATTGTTTCTCTCAACGGATATGACAGGTACCTGGTATCCAATGGCGAACAAGGCAGACTTAGTACCTGCCTTTGGGAGGCCACTGGCCTGGGGGGCGGGTTGGGCAGGCCATGGAATGGACAGTGAAGAGACTAGATGCTCTGATGCGGGGATACATAGCAGGGGCGTCCAATCCAGTCAGAGAAGGTAGACATTCCCCAAAGAAAAATGATATCCAAGCTCAGAGCTATAGGAGAAGTAAGAGGTAGCCACACAGCCTGGTTAAGGAAGAGTATCTTAGGCAGAAGAAACACACGGAAGAAACACACAGGACTTGACAGACTGAGGATGGGGACATGTACAGAATGGCTGCAAAACAGTGTGAAATGATAGGGTGGGCACTGTGGGTCCCTGGGACCCTTGGTCAAGTGGTTGGTATTTAGAAAGGACAATTCACAAGTCCGTGAGGGGCATGAACAGACACCCTGATGAACGTGGGCCAAAGAACCCTGTGCCCCTGATAACAGCAACTCAAGGCAAAATTTTGTTGAGGGCCTTTCACATAATGAACAGAAGTGATCCAATCACTCAATATTTTTATATGTTCTATTTTACGTTTTGGGAGGACATGGGATAGGATGAATAATGATCTTATTCTTGGACTTGAATGGGGGAGTAGGAGGTGAGCGCATATTCCTTGGGGGGGAAACATGTTCATGGTTGTTTAATGAGTCATCATATTTTCCTTTATGTTTCCTTTTCAAGGTATGCTAGTTTATATTTTTGCTGTGCAGTAGAAAACCAGGACAATGAGCTCTTGACGCTAGAGATTGTGCATCGTTATGTGGAGCTGCTGGACAAATACTTTGGAAATGTAAGTGCTGCTCTGGTCTAGTAGAATCAGCTGGTCTCCATCTCAACTCTTACTTCAGTTCTGTCTTTCTCACATTCCTTCTCCCTCTCAAATCTAAAATAGGAATCACATTTGTACCACAGATCCAAACACAAGTCTTTCCGCACTTCCTGTGATTCTTAGTAAATGATGGATTTAAAGCTCTCAAGAGGCAGGTGGTGTCTCTATCTTCATGACTCTAGAGACCTTGTTTAATGAACTAGAATTTGATTGTGAAGGATTCCTTGATATTCTGTCCCTTCCTCCTCATTGACTGTCATCTGTCTTCTATTTTGACGTTTTATCCGCTCTTTGGCTTCTTTTAGTAAGTTATATGTTTTCTTTAGTATTATTTATACCCAAGGAAACAAGAAAACACCACCCCCTTTTCTTTCACATTGCTATTCCAGCTCCTTGCATTTATTACCAGGTAATCTATTATATGAGGTGGCCCAGTCCTCGCTCTCCAAATGCTCTCCTGCTCTACCTACTGGCCTGTGTGTCTTCTCTCCTGGAAAGCCGCTCCCAGGTGATTCTTTCTCACTTTGCTGATGACGATCTCAGGCTTAGCGCGACAAGAACCAAACATCTTCTGAAAACCTTTTCTGTCTTGTGATGAATGTATTGTGTCCCAGAGTCCTTCAGCGCCAAAGGACTGTCTCTTTCTTCTTTCTCCAGCCTTTACTAAAATCTGCCTCTGTCTGTTCAAATTGGACTAAAATTCATCTCCTTCCTGCCAATCTCCCTAGTCTGGGTTTACTTGGGATTATACCTTTGCTTCTTTTTGAAACCTCATCTCTGGCCCTTGCCTGGCCTGTTGGTTACCAGGGTCCTTACAAAGCACAGTTCTGGGGCAACATTCCTCCTCAATCACTCTCCATCTACAATGAATAAAATCCAAACCTCTTAGCCTGGCACTTCAGCTTTCTAAATGTGGGTCCCAGGCCACTTCTCCAACCTTCTCCCTTTTCTCTCTTTACATCCCTGACGTACCCAGGGCTCCGGCGACAGGGACCAGTCTGGTATTTTCCTTAACTTGTACAGGATTTGCTTGACCGCTGAACTGCAAGTCTCTCGAGATCATGACCTAAGACTCATTTGGTTTGTTTTTTTCAACACTTGTGACCAGCTCTGGGCTAGGTTTTGGTGAATGCGCCAGACACATTTAGTCTATCTGACACTTCGAATAAATCAATCATTGGATTTGGGAAACATTTTCTTCTCAGAACACCCTCTCTTCTATTCCCTTGCTCCCTAAAGATTTGTATTAAGTGTTAGGAGAATTTACTTCCAGAAGAGTTTTTCTGTATTCTGTTTAATGGGATGAGCAGCATTTGCAGTATTGGTTGGGGTTTTATCAGATTTGTTGCAACGCTTTTTATAGGATGAGCACTTGAAAGGTTTCTGAAAGAATTTTCCAGTCCTCCCTCCTGCCTTCCCTCCCTTTTATTCCCTCCCCCACCTGCTTTTTTTTTTTTTTTTGTAAATTATGATAAAACCTAAAATCTTGCTTCAGGGACTTCAGGTTGTTGATCAATATACAGAAGTAATAAGACAGCTAGATCACTTTTCTTTCTCTTTCTCCTGGTTCGCTAAATTTATTTTCATTTTTAAAAGAGATTTGAAAAGACGTAATAACATATTTTCCAGTTTGAGATTATTTAATTTTATGCTCTCTGTTATTCAAATGAATTCTGATATTTTGGAAATTTCCTTTGAAATGAACCCCAGACTAGGCCGTTTGCCAAGGCCTGAAGGCGTTTTCCTGAGGCCCAGGCTCTCCCAGAACCTGCCTTCCCCCTCTCACTTCTGTACTCTGGTTTGAGCTCTTGTGTTTTCCTAGATTAATCCAACTGTGATAATGTGAATGTGGGCTGAATGTTGATCGCCATCTTATCTGACCAAATTTCAGGTATTTCAGAACACGTGGCTTTCTCGCAAGACTTTGAATCACCTTCACCAATGCTAGGCTCAAAGTACATGAGAATCAGAATGAATTCCTATTTCTCTAACATTAATTTTTCATTCTATTTTGGCATACCTTTAGAAGCTCTGTCTTTGTCAGGAAACAAAATTTAATTCACTAAAAAATTCAATGAATCTTTCATTAAGCTAAGAGCAAATAAGAGCAATTCAAGGCTATCTGCCCGGTATGTGTTCAATTCTTATTAATTAGCAGTGATGAGCAAAGCCTACCAGCACTGAATTTCATTGACATCGTCTCAGGAATATTTCTCTTTGGTTTTCTTTTCCTCTTGTGTTAATACTGAAGGATTCCTTGAATCCTGTCTTTATAATATCCAAGGGAAAACTTTGTACTGAGCTTCTCTTATAACACTGGGAAGTATTACCTTCCGATGACAGATAAATCAAAATCTCTGGCTACTTATTTAAGTTATGTATTTTTTTTTTAGCACTTTTCAATTCTAAGGAGATTTCCAAGGATTAATTTGTGAATCTCTCTGTCTTCAGCAAGTAGTATCAACCTCAATTTATAGAGGCTAAGAGGGAATACCTCAGAGTCTCACAGTAGATAGAAGTCTGTTTTAGGACTTAGATACTTGCTGTATTTCCCCATTGCAGACAGTCATGTGAGTTTTTCCTGATGCACTCACAAGGTGTTGCTGTCTCAGAGAGCTTTGATCTTGATGGAGGGAATTTTCTTATTGTGAGAGGAGGGACACGCTGAGTCCTGCTGGATCCTGGTGTCAGCTCGCTCACCAAACAGGCCCGTTGTCTTGTGCATCATCTGTCTCTATTTTACAGATAAGAAAAATGACGTTCAAAAAGGTTAATAGAAATATGTACTTTGCTAACCTCATGGAGCTTTTGTGAGAATCAAAGAGACAGTGTCATTCGTGACCAATTCTTTATAAACCGTCAATTGCTATGTAGTTGTGCTTTGCATTATGACTATTATATATAGTTCTATACATTTATTGGATACAACTTGATATTTTTTGTATTTACTTTAGCACAGAATTCAGTAAGGGAAGGTCTTGCTTAGACTCTACCCAAAAGGATTTAGTTATTGAAATGCCGTAAATAATCTCACTACATCACGTCTTCTGCTCTAAGAGAAGACCCTCCAGCCGAATTATGGTAAAGCACAAGACTTGGAGAGCAAAGATGCAGCTAAATTATCACTGGTTCTGCCTTTTATAAATTGTCTTCCAGATTATAGATACATGAAAAAATGAGAAAAAAATAAGGAAAGAGGCTCATGTTTTTATTAACACAGAAGCCATGTGGTTTTGCATAATTAGATGGAATGGAGTCCTTTGAGTATCAAGGGCACATTTCTGATGGGACAGCATCCTTCAGGAAATTAGAAGTATTTGAGTCATTAGGCAGTAGTTGCAGAGCCTGCATTTGGTCTAAGGTTGTCCTGAAATGTTTTTTCCTCTTTCTGTGACATATAATAACCCCTTGGGGTTAGACTCAAGGAATAGGCATAAAATAGCATTTTGGGGTTGCTGTACATGAAATGCCTGTCCACTGGGAACATTCTCTATCATGCCAATAGAAGTTGTGCATCCATTTCCTGTCTGATCTAGAGATAGTAACTGTATATCCAAGTTGAATATGTGCGTGTGTGTGTGTGTGTGTGTGTGTGTGTGTGTGTGTGTGTGTGTTTTGCGTGTGTCTGGCTTTGTGTACCATCTTACCTTATCCCTATCCCTTGAACTGAGGTGCAGTAAATTAATTGCCCCATGGCTGCTGGCGATAAGCTTGGGGGTGGGTGGTTGCTCTGCGAGTGGGGCATGAGAGGTTCTCAGAGAACTTGCATGAGTATCTGTCAGGTTCACTTTGCAGGATTCTGGTTGCTGGTTTCTCCTAAGAGGCTCCCGTCTGTCTCGGATTCCTGGTGTCCACCTGCCTTGACCTCTGAGGTTCCTCAGCTCTTGCTACTATGACTCCCTGCTTCTTCTGACCTCTGGTAACTGCTTACTTCTTGTACCTCCTTTCATGTGCATGGATGTCTGATCTATTGTGCTTTCTTTCTGTTTGTCTAGGTTGCTTAAAATTGCAAAGTAATGCATATTTTTACATGTACTTCTAGACATATACTTTTTAAAATAAAAGATGGGATTGCATTATGCATATTACTCTGCAACTTTCTTTTTCCCATTACAAGTCTATCTTGGAGCTCTCTTCACGTCTCTCCATGGAAATCTACCTCATTCTTTCCAACTTCTACACAGAATTCCTGTGGTATACCATCCCATACCCAAGTGTGGGTACACCACACACCATTTAAGCAATTTCCTTATGGATGGACTTCAGGTTGTTTTTAATTTTTATTATAAATGATGCTTCCATAGTTTTTGTTATTCACATACATATTATTGTGCACTAGTCTGAGTATAGCATAGAAATAAATTCCTTGTGGAACCATAGGTCAAAGGATTTGTACATTTAAAATTGATAGATACTATAATTTGACCCTCCAAAATGGCCTATAAAAGATAGATCCCACCAACAGTGAATGTGAGAAGCTATTTATCCATATTCTCACCAGCAATGGATATTATATCTTTTTGTCAGATGAAAATTAATTTAATTTGTATTTCCTTAATTGCTAGTGAGGCTCTGCATCTTATTAGTTGTGTATTGGCTTTTTCATTTCTTGCCTCATCTATGAATCACTTCTTGACAGCCTTTGTTTTTTTCTGTTGTGATGTTTATCTTAAGGATTTGCAAGAATTATTTTTGTATCGTGGATACTATTCTTTTCCCCATTATGTATGTTGCAAATATTATCCCCACTCTGTTGCTATACTTTTAACCTCATTTATAGTGCCTGGCCCACAGTGTACTCTGATCTCTCCACATTTTTGCCTGGGAGTTAGGTTTTACTGTTATTCAAATATTTGGAATGAGAGTGTTATAGAAGTAAAAGAAAATGTCCAATAGCTGAGAACATGTGCTTTTATCATGCCATCCTGTCTCTGATGGTTGTTCTTAAGAGGGAGCCCTTTAGATCTGGGAGAGAGGGAGAGAGAGAGAGAAAGAGAGAGAGGGAGGGAGGGAGAGAGAAGAGAGAGAGATACAGTGAGACTCTCAAGGGAGGGGAGAGATAGATGTAGAGATATATATATACACATTTATTATTGATTTGATGCTCTTTTCTAATGAATAAAGAGACCATAACCTTTGCAGATGAGTTAAATGAGTTTTTCTGAGTTGGTCATTTACTATAGTTTGTATTCATTTGTTCTTAAGCTTCTAGATTCAATTGGATCTGTCAACATAAACCATTTTTCTTATGTAGTCTGCAATGTTATTGACCTAAATCCTGAATATATGGAGCAATTTGCTAAAATATTGGCATCCATTTTATGTAAAGTCATAGCATTCAGTAGGATCAGACAACTGTTAATCTGAGAAGCCATTAATCTGCCGCATCATAGAAACAAGGGCTATGTGGTGGCTGACTCATCCATTTATCCGGCAGACATTTGTTGCATCCTACTATGTGCCAGGTGCCAGGGATATAAAGATGACTAAGACAAGGTCTGTGCCTGAGCGTACAGTACAGGGGGAGTGATTGATGACCAGACATATACTAGTGCACATACAGAATGGGAGAAAGAGGATTTGGGGGAAACACTGTGCCCCTTTTGATTTGGCCTTGAAAAATGAGCTTGATTTTGCCAGCAGAATAAAGGAAAGGACATTTGGGGAACATTCCAAGAATTGCTGGAATGTGCAAAGGGCAAAGGCATGAAAGAACGGGATGCGTTTGTGGAATGTGTGGCTGACTGTCACAGGGAGCCAAAGAGCGGGCCCCGACTGGATCATAAACAGCCCTATATGCCATGCTGAGGAACTAAAACGTTGTCTTAAATAGAAGACCTTACACAGAAGGGGATCCAGGTCAGCATTTTAGCAAGATGTCAGTTGTTGTTGGCCTTGAGTGGGCACAGATGCCACCTAAAAGGTCACTGCAGGGGCTTAAGTGAGAGCTGCTGCAGGCCTGAGCAGCAGCAGTGAAAATGGAGAAGAAGAGAAAGGGTAGAGGTTTATTTACACAATGGAATCAATGGGAACTGGGGACCAAATTGAAAGGGATGAGACCAACGGAGGAAGAAGAATGCGGAGGAGCAGGAAAATTAGTTGAACTGTAGACTGTGTTACATTAAGCTAGTAGATTAGAGGTTGTATCTCTGAAGGAAAATAGGGACTAAAGGGAAAAGAATGTGCTTGACTTCAGTTTGGGACATGGCGACTTGGACTAACGAATACCCAGGCACCTAGTGATCAGGCGAAAATATTGGACTAGCGTTTCAGAAGGAGATCAGGGCTAGGCATCTAGGTTTGTTAAGCCACCTGTATGCTAGACACAGCTGTGCAGAGTCCATGAGATTGTCTAGGAGAATACATGTATTGCAAAGGAAATATAGATCTAGGAGAAAGAAAAAATATACATGTATATATTCTCAGGAGAAGCACCAATATTTAAGAAGAAAGTCGGTTGTAGGCAGCATGGAGCATGGAGGCAGCAGTTTGTTTTGCTGATTGACGTGTCCCAGGCACTCTGTGAATACTTGTTACATTTGTAAGGTAGCGGGGAGATAAACCATCCAAGGAGCCTGAGAAAGAATCATCAGAGCTGGAGGAAGAGAACAGGCATTGAATGGGATTGCCAACATCTGGGAGCGCGCGTGAGAGATTTTCAAGAAAGAGATTGGTGAAGCGTATCTATACAATGCTGCTGAAAGATAGTGTGTGTGTGTGTGTGTGGGGGGGGGTTGGGGGGACGGACCGAAAACTTTCAGTTAGCAGACCTTCAAGCGGATGGAAAGTGCCAGTGAGTTGAGGGATATGTGGGAAGGAAGCAGCAAAAAGAATGCCTGAGTGATTGTTTGGTTAAAGAGTTGGAAACCAGCCTTATTTGAATTACGGGGAGTAGTCTGGCTACTTGCTCCACTTAACCAAATCTATCAGACTCTGCTCTGGTCTCTGGCAGTGACAATGGTTCTTGACATGTCCAGTATCATTAGCATCACCTGGGAACCCATTAGAAGTTCAAACTCTCAGGCTTTACCCAGACCCACTGAATCAGACACTCTGGGGGTGGGGCCCAGCAGTGTGTGTTTTAACGAATCTTTTGGGTAATTTGGACACATTCTGAAGTTTGAGAGCCACTGACCTGTGACAAAATTTTGAGAAAAATTAGCACAATTGAGCGCTGAAGGGTGAGCTTCTGAGGGTCCTAAAGCTAGGAGCCAAGATTTACAGACCAGAGAGCAGGAGAAATGAAGCACCGCCCTCACGCCTGAAATGCGGTGGGGACTCAGCTTTCATTTTGCAGATTGAAAGATGAGTTGGGCTGCCTCGTTCCACTACCAAGTCTCAAATTCCTTGTAGTGACGCTACACAATATCCCCCAAGGACATGATCTGCTTTAACAGAGTGTGGTTTTGCTCCTTTTATTAAAAGCCTGGAATTCCCTAGTTCTATTTTCTGTCCTTCACATACCGTCTGATATTTTTATCTTTGGTATGACACTTGGGTGTAACTGTTGAAAACGCTTGAGACACTGGCAAGTGTTTCCCCTGATTTCAATGCGGGTTTTCAAAGCATTTTTTTTTTTTTGGTCCTACCAGGTCTGTGAGCTGGATATTATCTTTAACTTTGAAAAAGCTTATTTTATATTGGACGAGTTTATAATGGGTGGAGAAATTCAGGAAACATCCAAGAAATCCGCTGTCAAAGCTATTGAAGAGTCTGATATGTTACAGGAGGTCAGTACTCAGTTTCTCATGATGATGATAATGGTGGTGGGGATGGTGGTGATGGTGGTAATTATATACTGGCTGACACTTACTTAGTGTTTACTCTGTGCTGGGTAGAGTTTCTAAGCAACTTAAAATGTATTAACTTATTTAATTATCACAGCAACTGTAAGAGATAGGTAGTATTGTTGCCCGTGTTTTAAAGATGAGTAAACTAAGACACAGAGAGGTTAAATGACCTGCTCAATATCACACAGCTAGTAAGTGTGGAATAGATTTGAACCCAGGCCGCAGGGCTCCAGAGTCTTTGCGCTTCATGTTTGAGCTTTTTAGTGAGGATACCTCACTATCAAAAAGCTATCAAATACTTGGTGCAATTCTTTTCAAAAATAATTTTATGAGAGGTATAAAAAGACTTTCATTAAAGTATCTGTGCTGCCCTGGGAGAGAATAGCAGGACATCGTTATTTCGTTTGCCATGGATATTAGAGCTTCATTACTGAAGATGGCATTTATCATTTTAATTAAAATTCCTTACACCTCCTGGGGTGGCTGTAGTGTGCTCTGATTTGCATAAATAAATTGGGACTACTGTGGCTTGCTTGTCTAGGTATAAATGGGCCCTGAAGCACCCATTTGGTTGCGCTCCTGACTCTGATACTCATATAAAATTCAGCGAGCTTTTTCTTTTAGATGCAGTCCAGGTTCGCATTGTACCTAATGAGGGGACATATCTACATAGCCCCTTCAGTTTTCCCAGGGACACTGTAACAAAGAACGCTTTACCCCGCTGACCTTTGCCCTCCCAAATGAGATGATCTGACCCAGCTGTGTCACTTCTAGGTCCTTTTCCCCACAACATCACTGGGACTTTCCATCTTTCTATTTTCATAACAGCAGGTCAAGAGATCTGGAGCATTATCAAGTGTCTGAAAAATTGGCCTTAAAGCCATTGTTCTTGCTGTTTGGAAATGAGAGACTGATTAAGTTAATAAAACAGCATGAGACATGATTTCCCAGCAACTGTTTTTGCACACCTTTGAGCTGATGACTTGCTCTTGCCCATCTAGGGAACCAGTCCTCAGGTGAACGGACACTGAGGAAGACATTTGTTTGAGTGGGTACCCATCAGCCTCTGCGTGTGCCTATTTGGAGGCTGTACATTTATTACTAGAGGTGTTCTCACCTCAAAAAATGCACATAAACTTTCTGATGTTTATTTAGCTCTCTCCAAATGCCACAGGAAGGGAATTTTACAAGGTATTTGAGAAATCAGTGGTTTGGAAATTCCACAGAACAGCCTTTCTTAAAATAGGCCAGGGGTTGTTTATAATTCCACCCTCAGAGTCCTTATTGTGGAATCTCCTTATAGGAGAAACAGACTTTTAACAGGCTCTTTTGGCACTTCAGTAATCAAAGCTTCTTCTTTTTTTTTTTTTTAGCTGAGCCATCCTGTCACCTATTGGCAGCTCAGCTTGGGCCAGACTCGAACTGTTGTTGCTCAGAGCTCAAACTCTTGAG